CTCGTAGGTTTAGTACATTAGCGGAAGCTTTGATTGCTTCATCTGCGCCCGCACCTTCGTCATAAGCATACGGTTCGTGCGCTCAGCTACGCCTTGCTGATGGTGCGTGTAAGGGAGAGAAATGTGATGCTCAATCCCCTTTTGCGCCAGGTAATCTTGCAGCTCCTTGCTCCTCAATTACGTTGCGCCGTCCGATTGCCGGATTTTCAACTTCTCCCCCGATTGCTGCTGCGCGTGCGCCAGCCAGAGGCGGAACACTTTGTATGCTCCTTTGCGTGCTTCTACATTCACGATTTAAACATAGCGCCTCCCTGCGTCGACGAAGGTGAGCGTGTACAGCTTGACGTTGATTCCGCAATGCCCCACGTTAAGGAAGTCGCTGTACACTTTGTGCAGCTTGGGGTAGCGGTTGGTTCCTGGTTCGAGCAGCGGGAACGGCTGATGACTCGGTGCAGCTTCGGGGCAGATGGTGCAGTTGCGCGGTTGCGACGTGCCTCTCACTTTGGTGCCGTCTGGGCGTGGTATTGCGCCTAGTGCAAATACTTGTACGTCGATGCAGTTCTTCAGTGTTGCACGCGGGGTGTGACCGAGGCGCTGTTGCCTAAGGTCGTCATTTCCGCGTAATCCGGAGGTGTGCATGTAGCGCGCGCGCACTATTTGGGGGTCTTCTTTTGGGACTGGGGCAGGTTCGGCTGCTGCTTCATCGGTTTCCTCTTCTTGGTCGTTCGCTTCGTCAGCATCAGCGCCAGAAACTCTCTGCCGAGGATCATGGAGAGGGGAATGTTGGACCCAGGGATAGTTCCAGGGATAAAGGTTGGTTCGAGCGTCTCGGGGTCAGGTAAGTATATTGTACGCTGCAGGGTAGGAGGCTCGTTGCCCCAGTCGATGGTGTCCCAAGGGTCCCGGTGCGACTGCATGTCAGGTGGGGGTAGTGCAGGTGCAGGGCGGCGTGGGCGGTGACCAAGGGGAACAACAGCAGGTTCTGCCTCTTCTTCTTCTCCCCCCCTTTGGTCCTCGCGAGACGCTTCCCAGCCTTCGCCAGAAGTGCCTCAACCGCTTGTCTCACCGCTAGATGAGGCACCCCATCCGCCAGTGTTGCCACCAGGTGCGGCTCCCCATTCGCCAGTATTGCTTGTACCCTATCCACCAGCGCTTCCCCACCCCCCTTCATTGGAGGCGCTCTCTTTTTCCCATCCGCTCCAAGCAAACGTACCGCGCGACTCCGCAAGGCTCCGCTGGCGAAGCTCTTCCGCCCCGCGTCGCGCTAGTTCCTCTTCTTGTGCCACGGTAAGCTTCTTCGTCGTCGCGCCGGTGAGAGTAGATCTCCGTGAACTTCTCCTATGTGTAAGGCCGCGGCACGCCGTGCTCATCGAATGTGCCGACACCGGTGCCACGCAGCATGTCGTGAAGGTGTTGCGATGCTGATTTAGGAAGGGGATGTTCCTCCGTTCCGAAAATACCACGCATTGCGATCTCAAGGTCCAACTTGGGCATTCCTGAAGCTGTGGGCGTATGGCAATCCCTGCAAATGCCATCTGGGTCAGTGTGAGGATCTGGTTCAGGAAAGATTAAACTATTTAATAATGCGCATTGGTACAAGGCAAGGCTATATATAGGCTCGACACAAAGGCAGTAATCCGTGGGTCGCGAAGCGTCCCGAATGGGTCCTTCCCGAATTCGGTAGAAGGCGTTTTGGTGGCAACCAAAAAGCCTAGAATTCGGTGCACTCAACCTACTTCGGTGCCTATAGCTATAATAAATTCTCATAAAAGCAACGAACCTAGGAAATCTAGCAAAAGCAAGCAAAACAAAATAAAGCTAAGCTAGATAATGCATAATAAAGCAGAATCAAGCTAGTAAATCATAGCAAAGCCGTCGTACTCTCACAGTCAGGGTCATGCAGCGCCTGCTCACGCGGGTACGGGTGATGCGGTACCCATGGTCGTCCGTCAGGATGTTTCCAATCCGAGCGGTGAATATGCTCGAAGCACAGGGGAACGAGATTGACGAGCTCCTGCGAATCGCCGCTGCAGTCGGGGATGTCGAATTCGATGATGAAGACTCCATTCTCGGAGTGCGCTCATCCGATTTGCTTACGTGTGTTGTTTGGCACTGTATTGTGGAGCAGGATGTCGCGCGTCTCGGGGTCGGTGCTGAGGTCAACTCCGCAGTCCATAAGTTGCACCGCCGAGAGAAGGTTGAAGCGCAACTTCTGAACAATCAGCACGTCTTTAAGCATGATGTGTGTTTTACTCCCTCTGGCCTTCCTAACCACGATCACTTGCGCGAAGTCGTGTGTTGTTCGTCACGGTGACATAGGTCACTGCGGGAGTGGGGATGGCGTTGGATATGTAATGCTCAGAGCCCACCATATGCTGCCCACAGCAGCTGTCCAGGTACCAGGTGTTGTAGCGCTTGTTGTCGTCACGTGCGAGCAGCGCCAGTCGCGGGGTAACGATGCGCGGTGTGTCAAACTTGAGAAATTGTTCGCGCGAGATCCAATTGATCGGAGCCGCCCACGTATCAGGTACATGCAGGGGGACTTTCAAGTAGAGGGACTGGAAGATTCCAGTCTTGTTTGTCGTCGTCGCTGAAATCGTGGCGAGTGCTGAACGGGTTGTTGTTCGAGAACGCTCCGATTGGGTGGCGTGTCGGCTCAGGTGATGGCGTACGCACGTGGGGACGACGCAACCCGCTTGTCATGGTCATGTTACTCATGACGTTGCGGACGGGTGCAGCCTGTGGCGGCTGCTGCTGCTGATGCTGAACCAAGGGTTCAGGTTGCGAGATGGAGGTTGGTGCCCCTAAGCTTGACGCGTGTCGTTTCGTGCATCTTGTCGGCCGGACCAGTTACTCAGATTGGTCTGGCGAGGGGCGAGATCGGAACTTACATCGATGGCTAGGTGCCCGAAATTTCTGCAAATTTTGCAGTAGAGGCACCGCGGTCCCCAGTCTCGTCGCGGCGCCGATCGCTGCTGATCCATATCCCTTTGTTCGACGAGAAGGGCAGCACGTAGGGCGATCTTCGTGATGACCCCTCTGTTGTCGAAAAAAGGCCTTGCAAGGCCGCCACTCAGGGCCGAGCCCTTGAAGCACAATATTCACGAAGATTCCTTCGAATAAGTTTCTTCCCAACTTCGCGATTTGACCGCGTAGCTCTGACAGCAATTAATGTAGCTGTTGGCCTTCTCCCCTGGGGCCATTTTCGTCTCCAGTAGCTGCTGGAGCAGGCGGCTCGAAGAAACCGAATCTTTCGGTTGGTACACGTCGTTCAGGTGGCGCCAAGCGTCGAGGGCTGGAGCAGGTGATGTCTTGTACGTTCAAATGCTCAACTGCTTCGCCGGCGACATGTTCAGCAGGAGAACACCGTAAGCCATCAACAACTCGTTGTAGTAGTGCGTCCTGGCGTCGGCTATGTCTTCTTCCGGTCCCAAGTAGCTCCCGTCAAAATAGTGGAATATCTGCGCGTTCTGCAGCAGGAGCTCTAGTTCGAAGCTCCAGGTATAGAAGTCTCTGCCGTCAAAACACACACTTGTTTTTTTTTTAATATCCTAAGGAACCTTGATTGAGCGGAGAGACTTGCTTGTTCGTTGGGACGTGGAGTCTCGGGTGTTGAGCCATTTGCGTCAAGGGAGAAGGTGTGCGGGGCGGTGTTCTGGCCATACGAGGCCGATTGAGAGGGTTGGGAAGATGTTCAACGTTTAAAGTCCTTGCTCCAAGCTGATGAGTTGCTGAAGCAGTTGTGCGAGAACGGCGGTTCCAATCATCGTCGTTTCCTCGCTCATTGCCGCCGGGTTGGGTTGCGCTTCAGCCGTCAGATTCGTCTGACCACCAGATCCTCCGGCCATCCTTACATGTGATCATGTGCTGGACGCCACCTTTCGTTCGCCGAAGGTTTCGGAGGTGGTAGTGCGAAGAACTCCCGAGTCGCTCTCATACCATGCTGCGATCAGAAGTTGATCATAACCAGGATCACCTCGGGAAGGTTCGCACACAATTGAGTGGTTGTGGTGGGCTCTAGACCTCAATTTAGAGTGGATGTAAAATGATTGATATGATAAAAGCATCCAAATACAAAGGTATAGATAAGAGTGCAAGAGGGAATTCGAAACGACCTAGCTAGCCATGTACTCCAAGGGGTACATTCCCTTATTCAAATTCAAACCCTATCGTGCGGCTCGAACAGTTATGAAACGGTTTCCGCCGACTTTTTCGCTCCTGCAGCTGCCCGATGCCGTCTGCTCCGACGGTCCAGATGCTCCGTAACAGTATGCAACTCTTCGCGTCATTCTGCCTCTTCGCATTCAGCCTCGATACTGTGTGCTTCACTTGCTGCGGTTAGGAGTGTACATTCTCATTTCACTATTTGTAACACTCTGCTAGACTACACATTCTTTGTAAACTTTCATTAATATCAATTCTTGTTCTCATATTCACCTAGTACATAGATTTACAAAACTTTTGGTGCAATACTCTATCAATGACTAAACTCTACAAGATCCTAAGGCTAATTTCAGCCCAACACTGTTACAATGAGAAAAAATTGCTTACAAGGGTCTTGCAGGGTTGACCGTTTGCAGGTCTAAAAGCTGTTGATTGGTGCTTCGTGACCAATATGAGAGTTAATCTAAAATGACAAACGTGAAAAAAACAGAGAAATGGAAATGTTCATATAGGATCACAAGAGGAAATTGGAACATCATAGCTAGCCATGTACTCCAAATTGTACGTTAATACGTACATGATCGCGACCTGGAATTCCATCGTTTAAGTTATAGCCATTTAAGAAAAAAAGGTTTCTGTGCCTGCAACAAACAGGGGTGCACTAAACGGGGATTTACAACGACACCATATCCCTCTCGATTCCGCCTCTCTCGCCCTGCCAGTCCCAGCCTCACCCGCTGAAACCCTCCACCTCCATGCTTGCTCGCTGCTTTCCGCGTCGATCGGCCGCCATTTTCCGCGTCCTTGCACCATCCGCACGGAAATCCGCATACACCATGCCGTCTGCCGCGTGTGCAGCAGGACCGGCAATGTCCCTCTCGTCGCTATCTGCGCGGCTCACCGCGTCCGTCGCAGCCGCTCCGGCCATCCGTTGCCTCTCGGTTTCCCTTCCATGCTGTCCGTCTTCGGCGCGCTCGGCCCACCTTCCGCGCGTTGACGCCCGCACAACTGCCACGCCCTGCAGCTTGTCGAGTTCCGCTGCGAGAGCCCAGCGCCCCCATGGGGGGAGAGCTCGCGCGCACGCGGTGTCAGTGGCGGAGGCGCAGACGGCGGAAGGCTTGGCGCGCAGTGAGGGGGAGTTTGAGGCGGTGATCAACATGGAAATGCACGTGCAGCTGAACACGGCGACCAAGGTGCGTGGCGCCTCATGCAAGGCGCGGTGGATCGGTGGGGCGCGCTACCGGGATGGGGAACTGTTTAAGCCAGCAGTCGCACAGCCTCGCGCCTGCTACCAGGTGCGACCTGCCCAAGGGCTACCAGGTGCGACCTGCCCAAGGGCTACCAGGTGCGACCTGCCCAAGGGCTACCAGGTGCGACCTGCCCAAGGGCTACCAGGTGCGACCTGCCCAAGGGCTACCAGGTGCGACCTGCCCAAGAACCCTATGCTATGCGTGTTGTAGGGCTAGCACGTGGCATGTAGGGGCACAGGAGAGGCGCAGGGGAATGTGGGACACGGTTGAGCAGAGAGCACAGCATTCAGAGGGCAGGCGGGCACTTAGAGGCTGTGGGATGAGGGCAGGCAGGTGAGACGAGGCTGTGGGATGAGGGCAGGCAGGTGAGACGAGGCTGTGGGATGAGGGCAGGCAGGTGAGACGAGGCTGTGGGATGAGGGCAGGCAGGTGAGACGAGGCTGTGGGATGAGGGCAGGCAGGTGAGACGAGGCTGTGGGGTGAGGGCAGGCAGGTGAGACGAGGCTGTGGGATGAGGGCAGGCAGGTGAGACGAGGCTGTGGGATGAGGGCACGCAGGTGAGACGAGGCTGTGGGATGAGGGCAGGCAGGTGAGACGAGGCTGTGGGATGAGGGCAGGCAGGTGAGACGAGGCTGTGGGATGAGGGCACGCAGGTGAGACGAGGCTGTGGGATGAGGGCAGGCAGGTGAGACGAGGCTGTGGGATGAGGGCAGGCAGGTGAGACGAGGCTGTGGGATGAGGGCACGCAGGTGAGACGAGGCTGTGGGATGAGGGCAGGCAGGTGAGACGAGGCTGTGGGATGAGGGCAGGCAGGTGAGACGAGGCTGTGGGATGAGGGCAGACAGGTGAGCCGAGGTTGTGGGATGAGGGCAGGCAGGTGGGCCGAGGCTGTGTGATGATGGCAGGCAGGTGAGACGAGGCTGTGGGAGGGCAGGCAGGTGAGACGAGGCTGTGGGATGAGGGCAGGCAGGTGAGACGAGGCTGTGGGATGAGGGCAGGCAGGTGAGACGAGGCTGTGGGATGAGGGCAGGCAGGTGAGACGAGGCTGTGGGATGAGGGCAGGCAGGTGAGACGAGGCTGTGGGATGAGGGCAGGCGCTGTGTGTGTATTCTTCCCGTTTCTTTGCGCTGTGTAGCAAATCATGAAGCGATCCATGTCATTCATGAAGCGATCCACGTCAGACGGCGCGGCGACCTTCCGCGTCAGCAAACGTAGAGCCGTCACGACCAGCGCCGCGGGGGAGGCGGCAGGGGAGACCGCGGGGGCGCCGGGCGCGCGAAGCAAGGGGGATGCAGGGCGGGGCAGGCCGTGGATGCTGGTGGGGCTGAGCAATCCGGGGATGAAATACGAGGGCATGCGACACAATGTACGTTGCCGCTGGGCGCGCATGGGAAGGGGGAGAGGGGGGGAAGGGGGCTGGGAGGGGAGGAGGGGGAAAGAAAACATGTCTTCATGTGCTCAATTTTCCTATTTGTGCTATCTAAGGATCCGAATCGTTCTTGTGGCGGCTAGAAAACATGTCTTTATGTTGACAAAATAAGGGTAGGGGAAGGGAAGGGAAAGGGGGTAACGGAGCACATGAACGTTCAGAGTTTGGGATTCAAGGTTTGGGTTTGAGGTTTGGGGTTTTGGGGTGTGGTTAGTGTGACCAGCCCACTCACAGCGCGTCGCTCTGTCTGCCCGCTGCAACATTCTCGGCCAAACTCCAACAATCCCATCAGCAGAGAGCGCGTTTTCCTCAGCTTCCCACATGCACTCGATTCAATTTGCTCCTCCTCTGCTCTGCCCTTCTAACGAGTTGATTTTTGAGTCGACTCAAAGGTCATTCTCCCACATACGGTCTATTCGCTCTTCCTCTGCCCTTCCACCCACTGCCGCCCTCTCCTGCCGCCCCCACTAGATAAGCTTCAAGACTCTTCCTTCCCCCTTCCCCACAAATCCTTTTCTCTCTCCCGTGCCCGTCTCACCAGGTAGGCTTTCAGTCTATCTCCTCCCCATGCTCTTCCCCACCCCTCCTCTTCCTCCCCCTTCTCCTCCCACCCCCCTCTCTCCTGCTTTCCCTCCCCACCAAGTGGGCTTCGAGGTGAAAGATCATAGCCAGGGTGGAGGGCATAGCTCTGAGATGGTTTTTTAGAATTCTCAAAAACCAGCTTTGAGCGCCATGCAGAGCAGGGTTGTGGAGGGAGGGAGGGCAAGGGGCACATTGCGTATCCCAGTGCTGCTGACCTCTTCCTCTCGTTTCCCCCTCTCTCCTTCTCACCTTCCCACCAGGTGGGCTTCGAGGTGATGGACGCCACAGCCAGGGCGGAGGGTATAAGCCTGAGCACCATGTAGAACAGGGCGATGGTGGGCAAGGGGGTGCCTCTCTCCTCAGCTTGGGAGGCGCCTAAACAATTGCGGGATAAGAGACGACTTTTGAGGCGCCTAAAAAATTGCAGGAAAAGAGAGGACTTTTGGGGCACATCAAAAGAGCAGGGCGATGGTGGGCAAGGGGGTGCCTCCCGCTATCCCTCTCCTCTTCCACTGCCTACAACCCATTCCCTCCCGGCCCTTTCCTGCCTCCCATCCCACTAGGTAGGCTTCGAGGTTATAGACGCCATAGCCAGGGCGGAGGGTATACGCTTGAGAGCCATGAAGAGTAAACCAGTGGTGGGCAAGGGACTCATTTCATTCCCGTCTCCTCCTTCTTCCCTTACTCCTCCTCCAGTCCCCCTCCCTCTCCTGCCTGCCTCCCATCCCACCAGGTGGGCTTCGAGGTGATAGATGCTGTAGCCAGGGCGGAGGGTATAAGCCTGAGTGCCATGCAGAGGAAAGCGGTGGTGGGCAAGGGGCGCATTGCTGCGTGCCCTATGCTGCTGGTGAAGCCGCAGACGTTCATGAACCTCAGTGGGGAGAGCGTAAGTGATAAGGGGGGTGGTAAGTAGGGCGGTTTGATGGTATCTGCTTGGTGGAATCTCAAAGTGTTGCTGGTGAATCCACAGGCGTTCATGCACCTCAGTGGGGAGAGTGTGAATGGTGAGGGGTGGGAATGGGGGGGTACGAGGGCGATAGTTACCAGCCATTCATGATGAAGGCCCAAAATGCTGCTGGTGAATCTGCAGACGTTCATGAACGTGAGCGAGTAAAGCGTGAGTGGCTGTGATGGGGAGAGTGAGTGGGACAAGAGGGAAGGCGAATGGGGGGTGGAGGGGCAGGAGAGCGAATGGTAATACTCGAAGTGCTGCTGGTTTTGCCCCAGACGTTCATGAACCTCAGTGGGGAGAGAGTGAGTGGCTATGATGGATGGAGAGAAGGTGCGGGTGAAGGGGTGGGGAGGGAAGAGGAAAAAGGGGATGAGGCCAGAGGACGATAAGAAAAAATCAAAGTGCTGTTGGTGAATCCTCAGTCGCTCGTGAACCTAAGCAACACTCCATACCAAAGAACCCATACCACCGCACCCCATACCACCGCACCCCACACCACCGTACCACATTGCGGGTGGCTCCTTTGGCTCGATTCTACAAGATTCCACCATAGCGAGTCATAGCTGTAAGTCATGGCTGTAAGTCATGCCATTCTATTTCACAGCCTGCCCTGTTGTGCCCTGCAATGCCATGCGCTTCACTTCTGTGCCATACCATTCCATACCGTTCCATGTCATTCCATGCCGTACCATGCCAAGTCATCTTCGGCCCATTTACCCTACCTGCTCTGTGATAATTTCCCTTCCATCACCATTCCCACCACCACCCGAAAAGTAGTCGACTAGAAACTTGTTTTTAGAGCGAGCATTTCTGCCATCCTGTCACTTTCGAGACGTCTCAAAAGTCCCCTTAAAGACATGGATGGATCTGGGCTTTTTTATTAAGCGAGCATTTCTACCATCCCTTCACTCAGATCTACAATGACATGGACCTGGACATAGCTTCCATGAAGCTTCTTGCCAAAGGGGGACATGGGGGACACAACGGGTGAGTTCAGGCGGGAGAAGGAAGGAGGTCAGCCGTTGTGAGAGGTGGCACTGAAAGGATGAGAGCACTCAATCGACTTATGCACTTTGTACCTCGGCCCGCCCCTTTTGGTGACGACTCCAAGTAAGTGGCGTTTACTGAAAAGGCCCGCCCCTTTTGTTGGCTGTGTTTTGAAACGTCTCCAAGCCTTTCTCCACCTGCATCACTGAAAGGATAGAGAGCAGTAACCATATGCCTGCATTCCATATCTCATTGTTTTTCTCGTCTCGTCACCATCAACATCACCATCAACATCACCATCATTCCATGATGCCTTCTCCGTAACATCTCTCCCCATCCCCACACTGCCATAAGAGAGAAATTTCAATGATGCCCTTTTCTTTTGCTTGTGGATGTCTCATGCGTACTCCCACCCACGTCTCATGCGTACTCCCACCCACGTGTCACTTTTGAGGCATTTCAAGAATAAATTCTCCTTTTATCAACAATCATACTCCCAACTACCTGTTTCCATAAATTCTCCTTTTATCGTCCCTCTGACCATTCCCACTTCCCCATGCCCCATCTTCCCATGCCTCACTCCCTCATGATTTCTCCGTGCCCCATTTCCTCATTCCCTACCCATCCATGCCCCACTACCCAATGCCGCATCCCCCTTCCCAGCATGAAGAGCATAATGCAGCACTTTCAGGGCTCTAGAAACTTTCCACGTCTGAGATTCGGTATGTGGCAAAACTGATTCTGTCAATGGCAATTTTGATGTGGTCAGTGGAGGAATCAGATTTGGTCAGTTGCTGCTTTGTTGCCATGCTGACCTACTGTTGTTATGCTGACCTGCTGTTGCCACGTGACTTGCTGTGGGCACGTATTTAGCTATGGCTACCTACTGATTTAACTAAGTGCCTACAGCTTTTCACTCCTTAACCGGTTGTCAAACGTGCAACATGTGCAACATGTTTACGTGATGGCATGGTGACATCATGCTGATGTGATCAGTGCATGCAGGCATCCGGAGGTCGCCAGGACGGATGGAGGCCAAGCCAAGGTGTATGTGCTGCAGCGGTTGGCAGTCGGGGAGATTGTAGATTGAGTTGATCTTTCCATGTGGTTTGCATGTAGGCATCGGGAGGCCCCCAGGACGCATGGAGGCCAAGGTGTGTGCTGCCACAGTTGTCAGTCAGACAGGGAGAGGTTTTTGAGTCAAATTAAACACCAGTTATTCCCTCCATGTGGTTTGCATATAGGCATTGGGAGGCCACCAGGACGCATGGAGGCCAAGGTGTATGTGCTGCAGAAGTTTTCAGATAGGGAGAGAGAAGAGGTGAGAGAGCAGGTGGTGTGTGCGTCGAGCGTTGAAGAGTTTCTACTTTGTCTTCCTGCTTATCAAAAAAACAGACTCCAAAGTGTATGTGTTGCGGTGGATCTCGTGGCAGAGTCGCCAAGCAAAGCACAGGGAGGGGGAGGGAGGAGGCGAGTTAGTGAGAATGTGTGCATGTGTATGAATTTTGAGTCGACTCAAAAGGCACCTCATAGGAAGGGAAGAGGTGAAACTGTGAAAATATGCAGTTTTGAAATGTATGGTTTCCTGAGAGATAACAGGAAGCTGTGATACCAGTTGAAACTAACCTGCCTATTTCATAATATGAGACGGATTCCTTTTTATGCAAACCCATTTGTGGTATGTGACCCGTGACACAGGTGGATGTGGCTATAGTGAGGGCGGTTGATGCAGTCCGGTTGGTGGCAGCAGAGGGAATGGATAAGGCTGTCAGCACGTGGAATCTGCCGCGCCGGTCGTCCGCCAACACCAAGGCCTAGCATAGGCATGCATGCATGCATAGCATATCGTCCATAAGTTGTATTGGATCCTTGGAATACAAATATGAGACCATAAAACAAGACAATATCATGGTTGAACATACACCGTGGTGTGTTATCTACGATATTTGTGTGCTTCTTGCAGGGATGTTGTCATCTCAATTCTTGCTAGACTAACAATGCTGAGGCTAACCCTTTGGATTACCCATCATTACCGTCATCGCCCGGATATAAGACAGTGTTGAATAGTAGACAGGGGTTGTCTATTATACGGGTGTCTCTTATAAACAGGCTAGCCTTTTTATACGACACCTATTTGTGTGTACGAGATAAGACATACATGTCTTATAATCAGAACCGAGGTTTAGGGGTTATCTTGTAAACAGGGGTTGTCTTCTAAACGATGCTTGCTTACTTTAAGGTGATACATGCATACATTCATGAATCTCTACTTCTGCCTAACCCCCCTCAGTCACCGCCTCCTCACCTGCACTAACAACAGGCTCTACACCCAGGTCTGGCACTCGCCAGGCATGCCTAGCCGTCTTCCTAGGCTCAATCTTGCGGTCAGCCTCGGCCGCCGCTCCGCGGTAGTTGGGGGTCTCCTGGTACAGCACCTCCAGGCCGGTTGCCACGGCCACCTCCCTCACGCCCTCCGCCTGCATCTCCTCCTCCTCCTCCTCCTCCTCCTCTGAAGCCTGACCGAGCAGGCGCGTGTTGTCGCCCGTGGTCCCCCCGAGGGTCATGTCCTTAGAGACATCGGTGGTGCTCCTGGCGCGCAGGTGAGACATCACCAGGTGGTTCTCCGTTCCGTCCAGCTTGCTTGAAATCCCACAGTGGCGGAACGCGTCGATGATGATTTGCTTGGGGACTTGATCCCCAGCCTCCGCGATCCACTGCAGCACCACGGGATGCGGAGGCCTCCGCCGGTTCCCTGCGGGTGGGATAGAAGCAGAGGCAGCGAGAGATAGAGACATGGACAGGAAACAGAGCATGTTAAATACATTGACAGGAAACAGAGCAGAAATTTAGAATGAATGTCCAACTCACCCTTCTTCGTCTTCAGGAGAATCCCTTCACGCATGAACCACCTGGCGTAGCGCGCTCGCACGACCTTGAAGCACCGGTTGATGGAGACGTCCAGGGGTTGAATCTGGCTCGTAGGGATAACTGCAGTTAACCCGCTGGGATAACTGCAGGGGTGATGCTGTGCGTGCGGTACGACTGAAGCATGGTCTGGGTGATGTGGCCGCGGTAGGAGTCCAACACCAGCATCGCACGCCTCGCGTTCTGGCCGCGCTGGGGGTTCAGATGGGGCAGCACCTCCTTGGACAGCCAGGTCTGCACAGCGCTCTCGTCCATCCACCCGTTGTCCTGTGCTTGGACCACGATTCCTGCCAGGCACACAAGGGACAGACGGGCATCAGCACAGTGGGGCACGCTCATCGGGCATTCGGCTTTTAATTCCTTAAGCTTACCTTCCGGAATCTCACGGTTGGGCACGTTCTTCATCTTGAACTACACCTAAGGCCGCAACTTCTCTCCGGATGCAGTGCACGCGAGCATCACTGTCGAGCGCATCTTCTGGTAGCCTGCAGTGCGGATTGGGACCGAGCGCGCGCCACGCTGCTCGATCGTCCTCTCGGCCGGCATCTCCACGAATTGTGGAGTCTGATCCGCGTTGATGATGCGGGCCAGGTCGATATTGTGGCGCGCCCTGTTGATACGCACGAACTTCCAGAAGGACTCGCAATCCTTAGCGCACTCTGCAAGCGGAACAAAAGGCACGGAAGCCAGGGATGGTTAGAAACTGGGCGAGGAACTTTCACTCAAGCATCGCGCGCAAAACGAATTCCGTCACTGCTCACCTGCCGATAAACGTTGGCCGACCTTGGTCTTCACCCGCATGACCAGGTTCAAGCGGTCACGGAAACGCTGGCTCTAGCGAGAGCTCGCGTTCCAGTTCTTGCCGGGGTAATGTTTCTTCATCCACTCGCGGCTCCACTTCTGGGTGTCTTTCACTGAGATGGCCACCCCGTTTGCTCGCTGAAGGCAGATGTAGCGGTACAGCGCCGCCTCCATGTCGGGGTAGTGTGCGTGGCGTGGCGTGGCGTTGCGTGGAGTGGCATGGCGTGGCGTGGCGTGGCGTGGCGTTGCATGGCATCAGATATCAGACGAGGCGGCCATAGAGCGCCTGGTGGACTCGGTGCTGGCGCCAACCCCAAGCAGCTGGAGCATTTCCACGCCGGCAAGACCAAACTGCAGGGCTTCTTCACCGGGCAGGTGGGCTTCTTCACCAGGCCGGCAGCATCTTTCTGTCCCTCCGACCATGCATGTGTTAAGCAACCAAGCTTGTGGTATGCAACCATGCATGTGGTATGCAACAGTGCCCATTGTTCATGCTCCATGGCAGGTAATGAAGGCATCGGGGGTCAAGTGAACCCGGTGCTCATGAACAAGATTTTAATGAAGAAGCTGAGTGCATCATCATCGTGACACATGGGATGGACCAAGGACGTTGCAAAATGGTTGGGTTGGGAGTTATTGACAGCGTATCCCCCTTACTGTGCATTGTGGCAAGACATTGACAGCCTTTCAAGACAGCATAGGCGCATTGAATAGAAATGAGCACTCCATTGACACAGGCGTTGGTCTTTCAGTTCATGGTTTTTGAGCCTACAAGCTGTGATGTGCACCTTTCAGTTCAGCTTAAAAGATGGAACTGTTGAGATAGCTAGGCAAGGTGAGTTGACTATCGAGAGAAATTTTACAAGTAGGAAAACCCTAAGGGGTTATCCCCTATAACATCTACCCCACTACAGCCTACCAATATGTATCACCTATATATATCATTTGACACACCCCCATAGGCAAAGTGGGGGAGAGCAATGGGTCACAAGACCAGTCAAGAGAAACAAAACAAGCTCAGGGTGGATCACAACGTCACCACACATTCTGAGCACAAGCAAATGGCCACAAGGCCAGTTCACATGCAGAGATATATATGCAGCAATGACAGTACAGTGTCGAGCTACCTAGCAAGAGCCAGCATGCAGGTATATAGGTATATAGATCACAGTACAAGCAAAGACTACAGCAAGTGTGGAAGCATAGGCACAAGGCCTAACAGAGTACAAAAGCGCTGATGATCACCAGACGGAAGTGCCTTGGTGAATATATCAGCAGTGTTGGCCCGAGTGGCCACGTAACGAAGACAAAGCTGGCCTCGCTGCTGCAACTCTCGAGCCAGGAAGTAACGCAGAGCAATGTGCTTCGTTCTGTGTTCCAGTCTGTGCTCCTCACACAAGGCAATGGCGGCCTTGTTGTCAACGTACAGCACTGGAGGAGAACGAGGCTGCTCTCCCAAGTCAGTCAGCAGGTAGGTGAGCCAGCGTAACTCCTGTGCAGCCATGGCGGTGGCGTAGATCTCAGCCTCACAACTGGAGCCAAGAACTGAAGACGAGCGTGTAGAACGCCACGAAACTGAACCAGAGCCAAGGCTGAAGGTGTAACCCTGTGACGACCGCTGAGTAGCCAGGTCGTCAACCCAAGAAGCGTCTGAGTGCCCAGTGAGGACAACTGGGCTCGTCCCTCCAAGCACTAGCCCCATGCCTGATGTGCTGCACAAGTAGCGCAGTACCCTCTTAGCAGCAGCCATGTGCTCAGGTCGGTGTCGACCAGGAGCCACGTAGCGAGCGAGGAGACCAAGAGGGTACGCGAGGTCAGGTCGAGTGCAAGTCATCAGGTACATGAGGCAGCCGACTAGCTCTGGGTAAGGACCACTCGGCTCTACGGACTCGTCCGAAGGTGGAGCTGAGAGCGTGTGACCTGTAGCCAGAGGAGTGGCCTGTGCTGAAGACCAGGTGAAGCCGAAGCGCTGAAGGACCTGCTGCACCATGTGTGACTGAGTCAAGGTGATGGTGCGGCGTGCTCTGTCCCGGGTGATCTGCAAGCCAAGGTAGCTGCGCAGCTCACCCAAGTCAGTGCACGTGTGTCTCTTCTGTAGCTCCGACTTCACGTGGGCGAGAGCCTCAGTGTCAGCAGTGGCAAAAACCAAGTCGTCGACGTACACGAGGATGTAGAACGGCGGCAGTGAAGTGTCTGTGCGCAGAAACAGCGACGGGTCAGCAGTAGAAGGCGCAAACCCAAGAGCCGCAAGTGTCGTCCTCAGTGTGTCGTGCCACTCACGTGGCGCCTGGCGGAGACCGTAGACCGGCCGTCGGAGGCTCCACTGGGTGCCAGGAGGGAACGACCCAGTGAAGCCCGGGGGGCGGCGCAGCCAGATCTCCTCGTGCAGGCTGCCCTGTAAGAAAGCAGTGCTGAAGTCAAGAGAGTGAAGCTCGTAGTCACGGTGAGCAGCAACGTGCAGCAGCACCCGAAGAGTGGTCATCTTCGGGGTGGGGGAGAAGGTCTGGAAGAAGTCAACTCCCTCTCGCTGACTGAAGCCTCGAGCCACGTAACGCGCCTTGAAGACAGGCGGAGAACCCGGCGGCCGCTTCACCCTGAAAATCCACATGCCACTGACGATGTTCGCCCCAGGTGGGGGAACCTCGTCGACATAGGTGCCTGTGGACTTCCAGGAAGCCATCTCTGCGTCCATGGCTGCCTGCCACTGAGAGGAGTAGGGACTCTCTATCGCCTCTGCGTAAGAGCGCGGAGTCGGGATGTCTGGTGCATCCGGGTCTCCCTCAGGGGCAAGTAGCGAGGACACAAGATGAGGTAAAGCAGCAGCAAGACACTGGAACTCCTCCTGCCTGTCCTCAAGGACGTCCGTGCTAAGAGCACACTCACCCCCGACGGACGGAGGACAGACAGACGCAGACGCAGCAACAAGACTGGCGGCGTAGTCTAGACGACAGGCAGCAGCAAAGTCAACAAGCTCAGCGACAAGAGCAGACGCAGCAGTAGACTCAAACGACAGGTCAGTGACAACAGTGGCTAGCAGACGCGTGACAGTAGGGTGCTCAGCACGAAACCGGTCAGACTCAGGGTCTGGAACGTCAGGTAGAGAGGACGCAGGAGGAGACGGAAGAGGAACAGGCTGCAGAGCAGAGGAAGGACGACGAACTACGAGGTGTGTGCTGGGGACAGCCTGCTGACGCGAACGAGGAACACGACGACCGGGACGAGCAGGCGAGACAGGACGCGACACAGGCTCACGACGCTCAGCAGGACTACCAGTCTGCTCAGTGTAAGGAGAAGGAGCAGGCAGCGGTGAGCCAGGCTGTAACGGAAGACCAGTAGACGACGGGAGAGTAAGAACCTGACGAAGAACAGAGTCAGACGGCGGCAGAGACGACGGAGACGGCGGAGCGAAGAACAGTCGTGTCGGCGCAGCTGCATCAGTACCGGCAGCTCCAGCAGCTCCAGTACCCCCAGCAGCTCCAGTGCCTCCAGCAGCTCCAGAACCTCCAGCAGCTCCAGAAGCTCCAGTCCCAGAGTCGTCACCTCCAGTCCCAGGGTCTCCAGCCCCTGTGTCTCCAGCAGTAGCACCCCCAGAACCAGCACCCCCAGTCCCAGGGTCTCCAGCCTCAGTGTCACCAGCAGCAGCACCCCCAGAGCCAGCACCTCCAGTCCCAGGGTCTCCAGCCTCAGTGTCTCCAGTACGAGTACCTCCAGAACCAGCGACTCCAGCACCTCCAGTAGACAAAGGTCCAGCACCACTCCTAGCTCCAGCAGCGCGACGCTGACGGTGACCGTACCAGTCCTGGAGCTGCTGTGGGGTGAGAGGCACACGTGGACGAAGGCGGCTACTCCAAGGAGACCGCGCAACAGCAGACTCAGAACCCTCAGCGCCAGCACCCCCAGCTGCTCCAGAACCTCCAGCGCCAGCACCCCCAGGCTCCTCACGCGTAGGCTCAGTACTCGCAGACTCGGCACCCGCAAGCTCAGCACCTCCAGGCTCCTCACGCGCAGGCACAGCACCCTCAGACTCGACACCCCCAAGCTCAGCACCGCCAGGCTCCTCACGCACAGGCACGGCATCCCCAGACTCCGCACCCCCAGGCTCAGCACCCCCAGAGACAGCACCCCGAGCAGGACCACCCTCAGCAGGACCTGAGTCACCAGTGACCTCAACAGGCGCAGGTACCGGAGGGTCTACCTGAGAAACACCTGAAGGAGCAGGACCTGGCGCGGGGAGGGGGTCTACCTGGGGAGGACCTGGAGCGAGAAAGAGCGGCGGGGGGGGGCGAGAGACAGTGCGGTAGGGAAAGAGACGGTAGAAGGGAACAGACTCGTCAAAGGTGACGTCCTGAGACGCAAAGACACGGCGCGAGGTGGGGTCGTAAAACTGCCAGCCAGGCGCGTCAGGAGGAAAACCAAGGAAGACGCAGGGAATGGCACGAGCAGAGAGCTTGTCCGCGGTGAGATCGCGGACAAAGGCACGAGCACCCCAGACCCGGAAACGCGACGCATCGCCAACCTCCCCCGTCCACAGCAGTGTGGGCGAGGTCTCCGGCAAGGAGACACGGGGCCAGAGGTTGAGCTGATGCGCGGCGTACCGGACCGCGAACGGCCACAGAAAATGGGGAGCCGCCGCATGGATCATGGAGGTACGAGCGACCTCCATGACTAAGCCAATGCGGCGCTCAGCAACCCCATTCTGCTGCGGAGAGGCCGGAAGCGTGAACGACTGGGTGATGCCGTGCTCCGCACAGAAGGCTGCCAAGAGGTCAGAGGAGAACTCACCACCTCTGTCAGAGTGCAGACGCAGGACAGGAAAGTCCCGCTCGAACCGCTCGCGGAGCTGGAGACGCACAGCGCGGATCCAGGGGATCAAAACAGCAGGGACGTCTCCCTTGCTGCGCAAGGGGAAGACCGTGGTGTAACGCGTGAAGTCGTCGACAACCAGCAGAAAGTACCGCTCACGGCCCTGTCCCTGGACGCGGGCTGGGCCCCACACGTCCAGGTGAAGCGTCTGCAGGGGAGCCTCTGTGGGAGGAAACGAGGAGGAGTGAGGAGCGGCGCGCTGCCGCCCCTCGACGCAGGGAATGCAGGGCGGCGCAGGCGAGGGAGGGAGGGCAGGCAGAGACCTGGGAAGCCCAGAGACCAGAGAGCGAGAGTGCATGCTACGAAGGCGAGGCAGGGAGGGGTGACCAAGGCGGTGGTGCCACAGGAGCGTGTCGTGCGACAGGCGGCGGCACTCACACTGGGTAGCTACCTGAGCAGACGCGTACAGCTGTGGAGACAAAGGAGCGGAGCGTGAAACAGTGGTGAGGGTGTACAGACTGGACCCCGGCTCACGAGTGAACGTGGCCAGGTGGCGGCCAGTCTTGGAGCACGTACAGATCGCCACACGCTGCCCTCCAGGAGTCCAGGTGTCAACCCAGTGATCCTGGAGGACAGCGTTGCTCACCAGGTTCGTAGAGAACGAGGGAACGAGGAGACCTGACAGCTCACCAGACGGGACCGCCGGGCACGGGAGCACAGTCGTGCCGCGTGCAAGCACTGGGCCCCCAGAGGGGTCAGCCAGGGAGACAGGGACAGGTGCAGGGAGCGGAGTGACGGTGGTGCTATCACGAAAGAAACAGCGGGAAGCACCAGAGTCAAGTGTAAACGTGTGCAAGGCCTGAGTCGACTCAGTACCAAGGGGAGCAGACTCACTAGCACCTAGGGCTGCAGTCCTTATACCGGGGTCAGGCGGCACACACAAGTAGCAGTCACCCTCAGCACTAATAGTCAATGCATACATGGCAGCAAGAATAACATCATAGTCCAGATCAAAGATAGGCACATCACGCCTAAGCAGCTCTGCCCAGTTGGGGAACTCAGTAGCATCAGGATACTTAGTACGCCAGGCGTCACTAAGCCTAGCAAAACAACGATACTCAGTGTGAAAACCGTTGCAGGGGCGACCCTTGCGGGGGCCAGTACGAATGACATAGGGGCAGCGGTCAGAACCCCGAGACGCCCCACGCCCAGCATACCAGTCATTGAGCTGCTGGGAGGTGAGGGGAGGAAGCTGCTGCTGCTGCTGTGGCTGTTGCTGCTGCTGCTGCTGCTGGCCACCCTTCTGGCCAGATCCACCCCCACTCCCACCTCCACCGCCACTGCCGCTGCCTCCTCCCCCACCACCGCCGCCGCCGCCTCCACCGCTCCCGGTCCTGCCGCCACCCCACCCACCGCCTCCACCCCCACGGCCACCCCCACCACCTCCACCACCCCCGCCGCCTCCACCACCGCTCCCTCCACCGCCACCTCCGCCACCCCTGCCACCCTTGCCGCCCCTGCCACCACCACGCTTCCCACCAGGAGCGGAAGCCGCTGCGACCTTCTCCGCACCGAGGAAGTCAACAGCAGTAGCAGCAGAGGCGTAGGAGGGGTCAAGAGGGGAGGGGGAGCACCCCTCAAAGAGGGGAGTGCGGGGAGTGCCACGAGCAGCACCGACAGCGAGGATGTTCTTCTCTGCTGCGACCAGCTGCTGCTCGAAGTCGTCCAGAGTGATAGTTGGAGGATCCTTGGCAAGGAAGTAATCCCTGACAGAGCGAAGAGTGTCAGGGAGGCGGGTGACGAGGATGTAGAGGGTGAAGTACAGCGGGGGGGTGTTCGTGGCGAGGAACTCTTTGGTAAGAGCGGCTCGAAAGCGGGCGTCACTAGTGCGGAGGTGAGTGATAAGGTCGGCAGCAGTGTGAAACGAGGCTAAGTCTGGGAACAGGTAAGGCAGGATGAGACTACCAACGGTGGCTGTGGTCGGGGCGGAATAGCGGGCAACGACAGCATCATACAGCGTCTTAGCAGTCTGAAGCTGGTTGAAATGCGCGCGCTCAGAGATCGGTAGGTGATTGCGAATAACAAGGCGCGCGACAGCATCGCGGAGCTCCCACTGTGCTCGTTCAGGGGCAGGAGCAGTCTCAGCAGGAGTAGGGACAGTGCCGGTCACATAGGCTAGCAGGGACACTCCGTCTGCGACGTCAGTCATAAGGTAAAGGCGCAGGTCACTAAGCCAGGTGTCAAACTCGATGGGGCGGCCGTCAGGCTCAAAGGCGAGAACAGTAAGGGTCGCCATGGTTGTAGCGCAGGCAAAAGTAGCAGGCTCAGGCAGCAGGCTCAGGCAGCAGGCTCAGGTAGCAGGCTCAGGCAGCAGGCTCAGGCAGCAGGCTCAGGCAGCAGGCTCAGGCAGCAGGCTCAGGCAGTAGGCTCAGGCAGCAGGCAAAGACTGCAGGTTCAGGCAGCAGGCTCAGGCAGCAGGCAACTGTAGCAGGTAAGGAAGCACGCAGTTTTGTGACAGGCCGCGCGTAAGGCAGGTAAGCGCACGACTCACGGGCGGCTAAGCGCTCAGGTCGAGGCAGTGGCGCACAGGCAGGGCAGGGCACGCGCTGCTGCGGGCTGCGCGCGGCAGCGGGCTGCGCGCGGCTGCGGGCTGTGCGTGGCAGCTGGCTGTGCGCGGCGACGGGCTGCGTGCGGCTGCGGGCTGCGCGCGGCGACGGGCTGCGTGCAGCTGCGGGCTGTGTGCGGCGACGGGCTGCGCGTGGCTGCGGGCTGCGCGTGGCTACTGGCTGCACGCGGCGGCGGGTCGCACGTGGCGGCGGGCTGCGCGCGGTGACGAGCTGCGCGCGACAGCAGCGAGCACGCGGGCGGCTAAGGCAGCGGGGCGCGCTAAAAAAAAATGCACGCGCGCATGCAGCCGAGGCGCGCGCGGGCAGCAGGTAAGGTAGGTATAGCTGTAGGGAAAGTAACTCATGAGTAGGTGGGCCCCAATCTTAGGTCCTTAGGACCATTGCTCTAGATGCCATGTTGAGATAGCTAGGCAAGGTGAGTTGACTATCGAGAGAAATTTTACAAGTAGGAAAACCCTAAGGGGTTATCCCCTATAACATCTACCCCACTACAGCCTACCAATATGTATCACCTATATATATCATTTGACAGGAACAGTGGTCAGAGGTGAGCGTGAGTAACCAACCAGGCTCTTTAGTATACATAACAAAATATATGTAAGAAAGTTTGTGGCACTCTTGGTACAAATAAATGAATCAGCAGAATAGGAAAAGCAACTGAACCTAGAACGCAATTCTTTGGCTTGCACCCTCAAACCCCGCAACGCCTTACCCCTTCCCCCACTTCCCTTCCCTAGATATCCTGCGAGGCACCCAGGAAGATGAGGGCAGGCAGCAGGGGGTCAGGGCAGGGGGGACGCGGCGGGCCAGTTGGTGGTGCACTGCCACGTGTAGCCGGTGGTGATGGAGTAGGAGCAGCGGCGGGGGCTCTCATCCCAGCACGACGACGGCGCGGTGCAGTTGAAGCCGCACGGGATGCGCTTGCAGCACGTGCAGGCGTTGTAGCAGTTCTTGTAGTTGGTGGCCTGCACGGTGGACGTGCCGCCCATGGCGAGCTTGAAGTCCTGGCACACGTTCTCACACGTCGTCTTCACGTACGCACAGCACTTGCCCACCCCGTCGCCCAGCAGCTGCGTGCAGTCAGTGCTGGGCGGCGGCCACGTGGGGTAGGGGCAGATGGCCTGTGTGCACCCGGACCCATTGGCAGGGGCGGAGCCAGCGCGGCCCATGCAGGCGGCATTGCAGCCGGTGCAGATGTCGTTGCTGACGAGCACGGGCGTGGCATAGTTGCACACGGCGTCGCAGTACGACGGGTACGTCACGTAGTCCGACCCGCACACCGGCAGCGATGTGGCACACCCACAGTCGATGGCGCCGAGGCGCACGTTGCAGGGGATGATGAGCGTGGCGTTGACGAGCAGCACGGCCGTCTCCAGGATGTTGTTGTACGCCGCTATGGCCGCCGGTGACACCGACGTGGGCATGCAGCGGTTGATGAAGCGCGATGAGATGAGGCCGAGCGTGTCACCGGGTTTCACGGTGTAGAGCGAGAAGGAGGAGTTGGTGGAGGCGATGAGCGAGGGCAGGATGGGCGAGTTGATGCACACCTTCTGCCCCACCTGCAGGTATGGTGACTGGCACTGTCACAGGGGCGGGGAGAAAGGGGCAGGCGAGCAAGCAGGGCGTCAGGAAGATGGTGGGGAGGAGCGGGAGGCAGAGGAAGTGCATGACATGACATGACATGACATGAGGCACAGCGACGGCACACGGCGGAAGCATGCAGACCTGGTGGCGCACGGCGGTGAAGCATGCAGACCCGGTGGCGCACCCTCATGAGCAAGAGAGAACGCTTCATCCCTCCACCCCTGATGCCCCTGAAGCGGCTTATCCTGATACCCAAGTTGATGGCTCATAGAGGTGCTGGGCGTGTGGTGGCTTACCCGGATGCCGGGGTTGATGGAGAGGAAGGTGGACTCGGTGAGGTTGGCAGCGTTCCAGATGTTGGGGCAGTTGTCTCCCTGCAGCACCAAGTACCACGCTGTGCAGTTCACCACCGTCTGAGGGGGTGAGATGAGATGGAGGCACGCAGAGCAAGGGACGAGAAGAGAGGAAGGGCGCAGGCAGTGAGACCCGACGCCTGCAGCACCGCTGCAGCCACGAGTGGGTGCAGCGCATGTGGATGGGGGGAGAGCGGGGCAGAAGGAACAGGCAGTGAAAGGTCATAGTAAGAGGAGGGGCATCCATCGAGGATTAAAAAAAAAGGGGGGAGGATGGGCGCAGGAGCAGCCATAGCAGCAGCAGCAGAAGGCGAAACAGTGGACACACCAAGCTGCAGCTGACACAACAGCAGCAGCAGCTGCAGGAGGGCGAACAGCAACAGCAGAGGTATGAGCATGGGCAGCAGCAGCAGCAGGGTGGCGAGACAGGTGGCACGGACCTTGTCTGACTTGGCAGCGACACAGAGGTACGTGCCCGCGTCTATGTCGCCCCTGCTGCAGTCCAGTGCTGGGTTCAGCCTGGCGGGCAACACGCACCGGCAGCGGCAGGGTGGGAGCAAAGGTTGTGAGCAGGATAGAGGGAGATGGTGAGGGAAAAGGCAGAAGATTGCACTTTGGTTGTAGTGAGACAGAAGTGTGAACCACCACTGCTTGGAATGGACGTGAGAGGAGCGGGTGAGGGCAGAGGAGCATGTGAGGGCAGAGGAGCGTGTGAGGGCAGAGGAGCGTGTGAGGGCAGAGGAGCGTGTGAGGGCACTCACGACTTGAAGGAGGGGAGGTCGAGGGTGTACTTGCTGGCCACGGTGCTGCACGAGTCACCCACCACCGACACGTACGTCTGCCCGCACTGCACCACCGTTGCATTCGCCGCCGACAGCGGTGCAGCGGCGGCGCACACCTGCTGCGAGGGCAGCAGCGCGGGGCGGTCGGGCGTGCAGAGCAGCGGGTTGGCCTGGCGGAAGGCGGAGTCGTTGCCGTTGAAGAGCGTGGCGGTGAGTGAGGCGCACGTGTCGTTGGCGTGCACCATGTACGTGGCCGTGCACACCGTGGTGGACGGCGCGGAGGCGTTGGACAGCGAGAGCACGAAGCCCGGCGGGATGTAGCTCAGCGAGCAGTTGAGGAAGGGGTTCAGCGCTGCCAGCACCGCCACAGTGGTGTTGTACGCCGCTGCTATGCCCTGTGCCAGGGAGAAAGTAGGGGGCGGGGGGGCGGGGGGGGTTGTTGAAATGAGACCAGATTGCGACAGGGAGGCGATTGAGACACGCGAGCCATAACACGGCTGCCAGTGGCAGCAACGACAAGGGTGATGATGGTGAGCGGGTATGAAAAATCAACCATCAGTCAAGGACGCACAGTGCATTAATCGGTGTGCTTTGTGAGGCAAAAGAAGCAGTCACCTCACCTGCTCGCACTGACAGCACATGTGGCACTCACAGCACACGTGGCACTGACAGCACACGTGGCACTTACAGCGCATGTGTCCCCGGGCACGGTGGTGTAGGTGACGGACGATGTGTTGCCACCCGCCACACCCACACACGTGAGCGACCCGTCCGTCTCCGCGCCGATGGCGTAGCCCTGTCATGTACAGGGGGAGGGGGAACGGGGAAGAGGGGAGGCGGGAGGGAGGACACAGATGACTCGCATGAGAAGGCGCGCGGACCAGAGGCAGACGAGGAGGCTGGCAGCAACAGGGCGGGTGGCGCAAGCAGTGCAGGCGGGCGCACTCACGGCGGGGCACTGGCAGGTGTAGGCGCCGTTGCCGGTGTTGGTGCAGGTGCCGGCGCCACAGGGGTTGACGTTGGTGGCGTTGCAGGGGGAGAGGGAGACGCACTTGCTGGTGGGCACGCCCAGCACCTCCACCATGCCCTCCGGCCCGCTGCAGTCGCACCGCGCCACGTTGTTGCGCGTGTAGCACTCGCCCGCGCCGCACGGGTTGATGAGCAGCTGGCAGGCGTCGGACGTGACGGGCAGCGGCTTGGTCCACCAGCGCCCATCGCTGTCGTCGCGCTGCTTGTCGCTGAACCGCACTGGCTGTGGGCCAAACGGGTAGTACACCGGATACATGGCCGGCAGCCTGCGGGGCGGGGCGGGGGTGGGGAAAGGGGGGGGGGGGGGGGGGGGGTGACAATGGGATAGACAGGGTGAGAACGTGAAATTGAGTGCTAGGCGAGAATGAGGGAGATAGGGTGAGCGAGAGACTGTAAGAGGAGAGAGGGAACAAAGTATGCCTGCGTAACGCGTTCGGACGCCACGTACGCGTGGATGCCGCATTTGCCGCGCACGTCGGGCGTCATGGCGAGGTACATGTAGCCGTTGTCGCCCCACGTGCTGAACCACGTGTTCTTGATGATCCAGTAGCTGCCCACGAGGCCCGGCCCCGTGTAGTTGTAGCCCACCACCACCACCACGTGGTTCACGTTGGTCGTGCACAGCCCCGGCAGGTCGGGCGAGCCGTAGATGCGCAGGCGGCCGCGCGACGTGTAGGTCTGGAAGTCGCGCTCGGAGCCGCTGAGGAACGCCACCACGGGCTGCATGCTCACGGCCTTCATCAGCGCCACCGCGCTGTACTCATGCCGGCACCAGCTCCCACCCCGTGATCTGCCCGGGGGGGAAGAAGGGGGAAGGACAAGCGCACGGTGAACGACTTGGTCCGCAACACACGCCAACTGTGGTTGCGCCACTCATGCTGTAACGCCTGCGGGCTAGTGTTAAAGGGCATTCCGCTGCGCCAAATAACACCCTCGTTTTGACCCAGTGGGTAGCGAGGTGTTATACTGGTATCCAGAGCCTAGGGTTCGATTCCCGTCTGGTCCACATTGTCCGCTTTGAGCGAGACCTGGAATGTGGTAACCCAGCTGCGAACCCAGCGAACGATCCGCCGCTGGCCTGACCTCACCAGCGAAGTCGCTGCTTGGAGCACAGCGAATAGGTCCCTGCGGGGGCCGACTCCCTGAAGTTCGTCAACGAGGACGTTGACACCAGGGGGGGACGAGTGTAACGCCTGCGGGCTAGTGTTAAAGGGCATTCCGCTGCGCCAAATAACACCCTCGTTTTGACCCAGTGGGTAGCGAGGTGTTATACATGCGCATTGCACTGCGAGCTCCAAGCGAGTAACGTTGAAATAACGGGCAACGCCGCGGCTCGGCAATCTACGGTGCGCCGGCGAGAGGACCGGAGTGCAAGCAAGGTACCTTGGCGGCGGTGGGCGCGGAGGCGTTGATGTTACAGATGGTGCTGTCCGCCGCCTGGTACGCGTAGTCCTCCTCCGCCTGGATGCCCCCGTTGAACAGCACGTACGAAAACGCCCAGTCCGCCCACCCGCCGCTGCAGCACTGCTTCGTCGCACAGTCGCACACCTGCGACGCGCGCGACGAGAAAAGACGAAGCGAGGTTAGGCCGGCCGCGAGACGAGCGAGCTTGGCGACAGCGAAATCACAAGCGAAGCGCAGGCGAGGTTAAAAAGGAAGCAGCGGCACTGCGCCGTTGTCGCCGTGGTCGCACGCACCTGCTGCGGCGACAGAACGATGGGGTCTGTCTTGGTGGTGATGGCCCACATCATGGAGATGGAATCGACGGCTGCGATCGCCCAGCAGCTCGCACACTGCCATTTAAGAGACGACCAAAAAACGAAATTGAAAAGGGGAGAAACGAGGCGACAGGAAAAGGCGGCCGGCAGCGAAGAAGCAGCGAAGCGGCCCGCTTAACTACAGAGGGCAACTCGAGTGCTTGTCACGCGCACAGCAACTCGAGCGTTCGTCACGCGCACAGCAACTCGAGCGTTCGTCACGCTCGGCGGATAAACTACAAACGGCGTTCAAATGCGGCGGGTGGTAACGGTTTGCACCTCGAATTGGCGCTGAATGGGCGAGATGTATCGGGTCTGGCGCCAGTCGACGATGGCCTTGGGCGACACGGAGTCCCAGCGGTAGAAGGAGCCGTTCACGTCCGCCATGCTCGGCCCCGAGTTCAGCGCCGGCGGCGTCAGCCCCACGTCGCGCCCCTTCATGCCCTTCAGCTGCCGTCGCACAACCTCGTCGTCGCCATCGTCTTCTCCATAAGTCGTCGTCGAGCGACGGGTCGTCGAGCATGGCGTCGCGGAGCGCCCTCGCGTGGAGTTGCGCCTTGGCCTCGGCGCTCATTGCAAGGGTCTCCGCCATCGCCAGCTCGAATCGCGATGGTTGTGGAGCTGTGGCTGCGTTGGCGAGGCGATGGAACGGCGAGAGGAAGAAGAGGGAAAGGAGAAGTACTAGCATGCTGTGACGAGCCATCTTGCGGGGAGACGACACGAGACAAGACTAAGAAACACGGCCAACAATCGCATCAATGTGACGTCTATTTTTGCCGTGGCAGTCTCTAGGTCAGTCGGGCTGTTTTTACTCCAGTGCGGTGGCTTCTGGGGGTTTGGTTCTCTGAAGCGCGGAAGAGAAAGATGACGGCTCTATCCTGAATACGGCAGCCTGTTCTTCTGAACCAAACATATGAGGCTCAGCGAACGGAATCGGGGTTGTTGGTTTCCTCCAGGCCTCGCCACACTGCGACAGCCAAACCCTCGCTGTTGCTGTGACCCTCTCCATTCAGGGTAGTTGCCCTTTCCTTAAATCAAAGTGCGAAAGCTTTTGGTACTGTTTTCCATAGTAGGCATCTATAAATTTGTAGGCCTTTCAACAGACAGCCGGACAATTTCTGGGGACACTCCTCCTGTTCTGTGTTGAACTTGACGCCTCCGTGTCCATATTGGGATGCTGTTCGGTCCAACCCCCCTAAAGCCAGCGCGCCTCTTCTGGTGCCTCACATCCATTTGAGGTTTCTCTTTCCGAAGTCTCCTGACCCCCTTCCACCTCGCAACGACTTGCCCAACTATAATGCTTTTATTCTGTTCGAAGGGTGTTGCAGTGTGCCGCTGTAGTACTGCGCCCAAACAACAGTTCTTGAGAAGCTACCTTATGTATCCTGCAAAATTTATTCAGCGTGTTACGAGTACCCTGTTTTGACATGCTTGACTCGGTGAGGGAGTTGAGAGTGTGGCTTGCCATCGCAGCCCAGACAGGACACGCAGTGGAACTGCAAACAAAGGTCGCACTGACGGACAAATTGTGACCGCAAAGTTGGGGTCGTCAGTTTTTTAGGAGGGCAGCAGAGTACAGAGGTACTTCCTGCCCCCACCATTTCAGCACAAAACTGAACAAACCAGCAGGTAGCTGTATCAGCGAGTGTCATAATTGAAAATTCCAGAACCAGGCTTGAACCAGGCTTGGACAGAGGGTCGGGAACTTGGTGCCCAGTGCAAGTAAGCGGACAACCGAACATCGTCAAATCCCGGACTACCGAGTCCATAAGTTCTGCCTAAGACTTCAACAGAATAAGCCTTCATCTATCAATTAATGTGTTTCCAGATTTTTTTCGGGAAACCATACATACGTGTTCTATCCTTGGCTTCCTTTTATCTACAGCTGGCCGAACTTTCCGTACGAGGATTTAGTGGCGCTAGCCGACACATTGACAACCTGTCCATCTACAGACGGGCGAAAGTCCAGCATTTGCCCACCTACTTTCTGGTTCCGGATTTATGCCAGGTGATTCGCAGACAGCTACTCTGGGTCAACGAACAAACACTCGCTGGGGTCGCCAGCCAGCCATTCAGCAGAGCTCAGGCAACGGGAAATGTGGTGAAGAGGCGTGTCGATTGGTCTGAATGTGTAGCTGGCTGTCGATTGGTCTGGGGACCATGTTAAATATTACCAGAGATTTTAGGTAGTTAATTTATACACCCATCCAGCAAGTGTACATTGTCAATAAGTCTTAAAGCCCGAGTCTAGAATGGCTACTCTTCAAGTTCAAGATTCTTGAACTAGAAATCGCCAATGAACCAGGTAACCTGGTTTGGAACACCGTCCCCTCGCAGCCCCCAAAGGAGTGTTTGAAGCGCATGAATTTGATTGGATGAAACTACAACAGCCACAACAGTCACAGCCATCGCCAGAAAAACACAAAACTGGAACTACTGTTCACCCTTTCCGGAACTTGAAGCAAGAGAATATCTTTCTGGACTCGATGGTAGTGGGCTCCATAGCCCTCAGAATCAGTTTTATCCCGTGAATGATGTGTGGCTTTCACCATCACTCTACTTAGTATAGGGTCAATGGAAGCATTACTCACGCCCCTCACTCCTGTCACTCGTAATCCTGACGTGCACCTCCTATTCGCACATGTTATCGCAAACGTCCACAAGACAGCTAATTCTCCGCGTTCCAAAGACATCGCTCGCTCGCACGCGTTTAGGATTCGAGCAGACTCCACGCGAACACCTTCCACACACACGCTCCCCGTCACTCGCAATACATGTAATTGCATCCGTATACGTGGCTCTCTAGGCTCCACGCCCTCCCAGTTCTTGCCCAAAACTCTCCCCGCGATTTGCGCTCGCCTCCCCTCCCGTCGCCTCCCCTCCCGTCGCCTTTTAGGTTACGCTCCCTTCCCGCGCCCGTCGCCCACGCTTGCTCTGAGTGTCGCCCACGCTCTCCCAACCCGTCGCTCGCCGCCATTCCCTTCACGTCGCCCTCGCTTTTCCTACCGTTCGCCCACGCGATTCCTTCCCGTCACCCTCGCCTTGCCTTCCCGTCGCCCTCGCAATTCCTTCCCTTCGCTATCGTAGGTCGTGCTCGACCAGTACAACCCTCGGCTCAGACTCCCTCGTAACCTCCCTTCCCTCCCTCCATTCGACCCTCTCCGCCGCTCGCCTTCCGCCCCACATTCGCATCGCTCACTCGATCCCGTCGCGCTCTCCCTCCCGTCGCTCGCTCAAACCCTCCGCTCACACGGTGCTATCGCCTCATCGTCGCTCACACACTCACGTTTGACACGCCCGCTCCGAACACTCCCCAGTCGCACACTCCCTATCCCCTATCGTCGCTCAAGAACTCCCGTCCCGCAATTGCTGCTGTCGCTCTCGTTCCTGCTGTCCCCCTTTGGTCGTCCATTGCCTTTCTTCGTCACTCGCGGGCTTCGCTCACCCCCCTCCCTGCTTCCTCCCTCCTTCCCCTCCATATCCCGCCATGCGCCAACCTAGGAAGCACCAACCTCCGCGTGCCTGCCGCGCGTAACGGTGCGTGCAGATCCGGCTGGCTTGTGCCCCACTACTAGACATCCTACGCCTTCCTAGAGGTGCGGGCGATGGGCGGGGGGGAGGGAGATGTGGGGGAGGGGAAAGAGAGGGCTGGGGGATGGCTGACAGGGGGCTGGGAGAGGGCTGGGAGAGGGGAGGGGGGAAAAAGGGCGGGGGGGGGGGGGGGAAGAGGGGGGGGAGGGGGAGTAGGAATGTGGATAGAGAGAAGGGGGGGGGAGGGAAAGGGGAGCTTGGTTGGTGATGAAAGTGTGAGGGTTGCGCAGCGTGAAGAAATGTGTGGCGACGGTGATTGCGCACAGTTGTACAATACAAAAGTTTCGACCCCTCTCACTTAGGGTATTCCCGTGCCACCCATGCGACATAGATTGCTCAGGTGTGCACACGTTGTGCGAGATCTTCCCACCTTGGCCTTCCCGCCGGTTCCCCTCTGCGCCATCCCCGCTCTTTCCCTCCCTCTCCTTTCTCCCCTCCCCCCATCCCCTTCTTCCCCCTACAGCCTGCAGGTGCGCAAGTAAGTGTGCATGTATACCGCTGGCTACTTCCAAAACAGCCCCTCTCCACTTCCCCGCACTCATCTCCTCCCCTGCTGCAGGTGTGAGAAGACTTCCAACGTCTCTCCGACACCCCTCATACACACTCCTTCTCAAACACAAGGCCTTTAGCTCTCACACCCTCTCACATGCTTCGCTCACTCACACCCGTCCCTCTCTCCTCTCATCACGTACTCATGCTTCCCGCTCTTCCACTCCACACCCTTCTAGCCACACTTCCTCCTTCCTAACCTGCCCTTCTTCTCCCCAGCTGTGCCTCTCTTCCCTCCGTCTCACTTTGCCCTGATAGGGTTTTCCCCTCCGTCCCTCACAGTGCAGCCTGTCTACTGTCTTCACCCTCAGCCCATCTCTCCCCGTCCTTTCCCCCCCCTGATCTCCTCTCCGCCTCTGCCATCTTTTCCTACTTGCCGCCCTCCCTTCCATCTCCCTTCGGCCTGCGCTGTTTCTTCCGACTCTCACCCGTGCTGCTCCCACTTCTGTACACACAACTACCCCACTCCCCCTGTGCTGCTCCCTCCCACCTCCGCACCTCGTGTTTGTCACTTCCCCCCTCACGCGCCCCATGTTATTTCTTGATAAACCCCGGCTCCTTCGCGCCCTTCCCTCCCTCTCTTCTCGTCCCTTACTCCCCTAATCCTCTACTACCTTCCCGCCCAACTCATCTCATCTCTTCACTCTATGCCCCTGTCCGCTCCCCCGTTTCGCATTCCAGGGATTTTCATTCATTGCCCCCAACTCGCGACTCACAGAATGCATGTGCAGCACCAACACTCACTGTTCGCGAGTGTGATCCTGCGGAATGATAACGGGCATAACATGGATTAGGCGAGCTCGTTTAGGGATAATGGACTTGACACTGCTCCCCCCTCCCTACACACTGTCCAGAAGACTGTTCCCTGCTGCTCAGCCATCTCACATCTTATTTCTTGTTGTGTTTGTACAGGTCCGCTATGCATCTGTTCGTGGTGTGGCGATGTGTTGGCTAGCAGTTTGATAGTACTATAATGACTAGCCATGCCATGTTTGGATGTTGGGTGCTTTGTTATAAATACAAACTCGGAGCTGAGGAGCGGGCATGCACATGACCACTACAAAAAAGTGCAACAAAGTTCACAGTCGATTATTGACACGAAGAAGACTGCAAGGAATTGTAATGTTCTTTCCCCATTCTTGTCTACTACACTGCATGCAGCTGGAAGCCTGGGACCTGTACACTGCGTGGCTGGAACTGGGGGGCGAGTGAAAGGGGTAACAGATTGAGCAGCGCAAAAAGAGAGTGCACAGTAAGAATTAGAGTGAGCAGGGAGGATGAGAGTGAGCAAGGGGGAACAGAGCGAGTAGGGGGGGAGAGAATGGGCAGGAGAACAGAGTGATTAGGGGGAAGAGAATGAGCAGGGGAAACAGAGTGAACCCTGGACATAAGAATGGAAAGGTGAAATGAATGAATGGGGGAGGGGAGGTGAAAGGGAGTTAGTTAGGCTGGGAGGCTAGTATGGAGGAAGGAAGGGAGGGAGGAAGAGTTAACTTATTCCATGGAAGGATGTAGGTATGGGTGAAGCGTACGGTGGGAGAGTCGGAGGAGACGGTAAAGACGGGCAACAGGAGTGTTAGAGAAGGTGGTGGGGCGGGAAACGACAGCCCCCGAGGGCGATGGGAGGGGGATGGGAGGGGGATGGGAGCGGGATGGGAGGGGGATGGGAGGGGGATGGGAGGGGGATGGGAGCGGGATGGGAGCGGGATGGGAGGGGGATGGGAGGGGGATGGGAGCGGGATGGGAGGGGGATGGGAGCGGGATGGGAGGGGGATGGGAGGGGGATGGGAGGGGGATGGGAGGGGGGTGGGAGGGGGATGGGAGCGGGATGGGAGGGGTATGGGAGGGGGATGGGAGGGGGATGGGAGGGGGATGGGAGGGGGATGGGAGGGGGATGGGAGCGGGATGGGAGGGGGATGGGAGGGGGATGGGAGCGGGATAGGAGGGGGATGGGAGCGGGATGGGAGGGGGATGGGAGGGGGATGGGAGGGGGATGGGAGGGGGATGGGAGGGGGATGGGAGGGGGATGGGAGCGGGATGGGAGGGGTATGGGAGGGGGATGGGAGGGGGATGGGAGCGGGATGGGAGCGGGATGGGAGGGGGATGGGAGGGGGATGGGAGGGGGATGGGAGGGGGATGGGAGAGGGATGGGAGCGGGATGGGAGGGGGTTGGGAGGGGGATGGGAGCGGGATAGGAGGGGGATGGGAGGGGGATGAGAGGGGGATGGGAGCGGGATGGGAGGGGGATGGGAGGGGGATGGGAGCGGGATGGGAGGGGGATGAGAGGGGGAAAGCGGGGGCGACGGGAGGGGGAAAGCGAGGGCGACGGGAGGGGAAAGCGAGGGCGACGGGAGGGGGAAGCGAGGGCGACGGGAGGGGGGGGGGAAGCGAGGGCGACGGGAGGGGGAAGGCGAGGGCGACGTGAGGGGGAAGCGAGGACGATGGACGGGGGAAGCGAGGGCGACGGGTGGGGGAAGCTAGAGCGACGGGCGGGGATAGATTGAAGCACGGTGCTTCACACTCGCATACGCGCCACATTCCCTCCCTCGGGCCTTTGATTCCTCTCGATTCCGGCCGCAGCGTAAATTTTCTCTCATGTTATACCCAGCTATTTTTTTCTGGACACTTAGTTTCCTAAACTGCTGTTCTTTCTATCTACACGCACGCTTTTAGAGTGCGCTTCTGGACTTTGGGCGAAAATCTGAGTTGTGAGCTGCGTGAGAGTGGTTGGGTTTTGTTTTGTCGTTGCTGCTTGTTCAAGTTTCCTGAAGTTGAATTTTGAATGTTGCGAATGAAGCTGGGGCATTCCGCTTTCGCCACCAGCCTCTCGCGAATTTTCCTCTCGTTAACCTTCGTACAATACTTTTCAAAATCAGTAATTTTGAACCCTTGCCATTCTAGGCGCCGGCTTTAAGTGTGCATGAGAGGCAGCCATGTGGGAACCTCAAGTGGGACAGCTGAGGGTGATGGTTCATCTTTTGGAAATGCCAAATAGCAGCAAAAGCAGTGTTCCGCGTCAACGATTTGCAGTTGTTGTCGCTTATCTTAATCAGCAGCACATTATTTTGACAGCGCGAGACAGAGTCTGACACTTTCTGACACATGACAATAATGATGTTAGCTACTAACAACACAAATCTGACAGTCGACTTCCCAATAAGAACCTGAATTGCTTCAATCAGAATACCTTGTTGAGAACCTTTCTCATTGTCGGGAGTAACCCTCACCATCGTTTTGTATATGAAGTTTAGTAATGTAATAGGTTTGTAGTCGTTGAGCTGGTCCTTGTTGACCTTCTTATGCAGGAAAATCGTGGCTGCTTCTTTTACCTCCATAAAAAGCATGGCAGTTGCCGCAAAATCTTTAGATAGCGCCATGAACCCCCTTCCTAGCAGATTCCAATGCGAATAAAAAAGTTCCTTTGGCATACCATCATTCATGGAGGACTTGTTTGTTGCCATCATGCCAAATGCAGGCTTCATCTCCTTTTCTGGCCAATTCGCTCCCATCAGAAGGTCTGCACCATCATTTGACAGAAACAACATTGTTCTCGCTAGTCTTTGAAGACTCTGTTAAATAAGCACCGGAAACATTCGACGCAACACCAAAAGTCAGGAACAAAATTGCTCCTTGAATGATGGGGTGAGATTTGGAAGGAAAGGAGAGGTGAGAAGGGAAAAGGCGGGAAGACGAGGTGTGCGTGGATGGTGTGGCAAGCATGAACGGTCAAAAGGCACCTACGAATGAAAAATGTCTGCTTCATATTCTACAACTGCGTGGATTCTTTTGCATTTCAAAGCTGAGGAACGAGTTTGTCGTGCGACGCTCTATCCAGTCCCTGCCAGTATGCGCTTCTCACTGGACCGCGCGGCAGTCAGGCCTGGGGGCGTGATCACCTGTTTGGGCGGTGTTGCCTTACTTACCTGTACCGCAAGCATGTGATAGGAGCATTCGACCCGGACAGGGCCTCGCAGCTCCTTCTTGGCCCTTTGATCTTTACCATGAGTATTACTAATTTGCATGCTGCATTGTATTATGCCGTGTCATACATGCTGTTGACTATAGCGTGGCTGACTCCTATTTTTTCAGTATACCTAGACTACGATTTGTAGCAAATGCTAATATATGATATGCCTGCGTTGCTTGCACATATGCAATCGCTGATGATACGTCTATCTCCTTAACGCTTGACTCTCGCACGTCTCGGTGCTTCTTTGACGACTTCACTGTCCTCATACTGCTTCCAGCACCACTGCAAGTCGATTTGGCCGACCCTACTACTTTCTCATGGCCAGTCGTCTCCCTTGGCTCCCTCACAGATTTGCACATCCCCGTGTTCTCTAGGAACTTGGTGGGTGTCAGTTGTTTTGACGACCTCAGTATCACCACCATGGTATTTGTGGGGAGAGTCATGTTAGAAACAATAGGAGTGGGGCCTAGGCTTAGTAGCCTAGGCCCACACTAGGAGGTAGTAGGTTGTGCCCTAGGACTAGGGTTTGGGGTATACGAAGGAGAATTGGAGAAGTGAGAATGGGAATGATGGGTTGAACTAGCAAGCAGCAGGATACATATAGGAAACCCTAAGGGGTTGTACTCACTATTGAGCACCCCACTGCAGGCTAGACAAATAACATAATCTGACACACCCCCATAGCCAAAGTGGGGTGTAATCAGCACACGTGAGAAGTCACAGCAATAGTTCACAATTATCAGCAAAGCTAGTGGCAGTCACAGGAGGCCAGTGAGGAGGAGGAGGAACTGTGGAGGGAGAGAAGAGAGGAGGCGACTACTGAAGTTGCAGACACACGGGCACCAGGAGCACCAGGCTGCAACCTCCTCCAACTGTCTCACTCCCCCCTACACACACCCCCAGGGTCACCACTCGCTCCACGCCCACATCACCCCCCTAGCGCCACTCCCTCGTCTCCCACACATCCACCCCCGCAGCGGCAGCTGCAGCAGTGGGAGACGGAGGAGAAGGAAGGGGCGACGCACACGGAGCACCCCCACACCCGCCACCCCCACACCCTCCTGTCCAGGGGACCCAGGGGGGGGGGGGGGGGGGGGGGGGCGGGGCGGGAGAGCGCACGAGGGCGCAGGCAACCGCGCGTGCAGAGCAACAGCGCGGAGCAGGTAGGGTAGAGCGCACGAGGGCGCGGGCAACCGCGCGTGCAGAGCAACAGCGCGGAGCAGGTAGGGTAGAGCGCACGAGGGCGCGGGCAACCGCGCGTGCAGAGCAACAGCGCGGAGCAGGTAGGGTAGAGCGCACGAGGGCGCGGGCAACCGCGCGTGCAGAGCAACAGCGCGGAGCAGGTAGGGTAGAGCGCACGAGGGCGCGGGCAACCGCGCGTGCAGAGCAACAGCGCGGAGCAGGTAGGGTAGAGCGCACGAGGGCGCGGGCAACCGCGCGTGCAGAGCAACAGCGCGGAGCAGGTAGGGTAGGGCGCACAAGGGCGCGGGTGAGACTGAGCGTGACTGCACAGGGTCCAGGAGCGGCGTCGCGGGCAGCTGCATGGTCGGCTGCTGCTGGTGCGGTTGCTCCAGGGGCGGCGACTGAGGTTCTGGGGGCAGCTGCAGCAGTGGCGACTGCTCCAGGGGCCAGGGGCGGCTGCTGCAGGGGCGGCTGCTCCAGGGGCGGCGTCGCGGGCCCAGGGGCGGCTGCACCAGGGGCGGCGGCTCCAGTGGCGGCTGCTCCAGAGGCGGCTGCTGCAGAGGCGGGCGACTCCAGGGGAGGCTGCTGCAGTGGCGGGCGGCTCCAGGGGCGGCTGCTGCTGTGGCGGGCGACTCCAGGGGCGGCTGCTGCAGTGGCGGGCGGCTCCAGGGGCGGCTGCTGCAGTGGCGGGCGACTCCAGGGGCGGCCGCTGCAGTGGCGGGCGGCTCCAGGGGCGGCTGCTGCAGTGGCGGGCGGCTCCAGGGGCGGCTGCTGCTGTGGCGGGCGACTCCAGGGGCGGCTGCTGCAGTGGCGGGCGGCTCCAGGGGCGGCTGCTGCTGTGGCGGGCGACTCCAGGGGCGGCTGCTGCAGTGGCGGGCGGCTCCAGGGGCGGCTGCTGCAGTGGCGAGCGGCTCGAGGCGCGCCCTGGCCTGGCGCAGTCCGTACGGGCCGCGCTGGCGCTCGCGGCTGGCCGTGGCGCTGGCGTCCGCGCGGGGCGACGAAAGGGGGGCCGCGGGCGACGGGAACGGGGGGCCGCGGGCGACGGGAACGGGGGGCCGCGGGCGACGGGAACGGGGGGCCGCGGGCGACGGGAACGGGGGGCCGCGGGCGACGGGAACGGGGGGGCCGCGGGCGACGGGAACGGGGGGCCGCGGGCGACGGGAACGGGGGGCCGCGGGCGACGGGAACGGGGGGGCCGTGGGCGACGGGAACGGAAAGCCGCCGCGCGCCTCGGGGCGCACGGCGGGCAGAAAACCGCCGCGCGCCTCGGGGCGCACGGCGGGCAGAAAACCGCCGCACGCTCCGAGCGCGCGGCGGGATGAAAAATTAGGGTTTCGCCGCCGCGCACCACGGGGCGCGCGGCGGACAGTACGGCAGCGGAAGCAGGTGGTGGGCCCATAGAGGTAAGCGGTAGGAACGTACTCGCTCTGATACCATGTCAGAATCCCAGTCACTAACCACTGGGATAAAAGGGCTTGTTTGTATGGCGGGTGAGTGCGCCCATAACCCCCCAGGCCGACGTGCCTGTAACCCTTCCCTAGGATCATCGGGGATCTCCAGTGGACCTCTGACACCCCCCCGCACTGGGATGCCCGAAGTGCACACACCGGGAATCGAACCCGAGACCTTCGCTCTGATACCATGTTAGAAACAATAGGAGTGGGGCCTAGGCTTAGTAGCCTAGGCCCACACTAGGAGGTAGTAGGTTGTGCCCTAGGACTAGGGTTTGGGGTATACGAAGGAGAATTGGAGAAGTGAGAATGGGAATGATGGGTTGAACTAGCAAGCAGCAGGATACATATAGGAAACCCTAAGGGGTTGTACTCACTATTGAGCACCCCACTGCAGGCTAGACAAATAACATAATATGACAAGTCACCCTACAACGGGAGTGGACTACGAAGGAGGGCACGGGGTTGTGTGGGTGATCGCAGCGCTCTAGTAGCGTTCTAACAGAGTTCTCACTACTTGCTCTGTTCACAGAGAAATTTGGCAAGAGTTTCCACTAAGGAAATTGAAAGTACATTGAGAAATTGAGAATAAGAGTACAAGAATCAGCATGCATAACAATATCTCTGGAATGGCATTGCAATCCCTAGCAAGCATTCTGCAAGGCGAATTGCCAGCACTGCATCAGAGCGATTTGCCAACACTGAAACAGAGCGGTCTGCCAGCGTAGCAGAAGGGCGACATGCCAGCGCTGCAGCAGGGCGGCCCGCCAGCGCTGCATTTGCAGGTGAATATCTACGTAGGTGTGCACCTGCCGAGTAGGTGCAGGTAGACGGTTGCACCGTCAGAGACATTGCGCAGGTGCCAGGTAGAATACTCTCCGACTGTTTCGTCAGGTGTCCACCGTCGAGCACGTGATGCCATTTCGCAGGTCGAA